CACACACAAATATGTTTGTATTTATATTTGTATGTATATATATAGAAAAACACACACTGACACATATGTACATATATACAGGCTTACATTCATTACTGATATGATGCCAAATCCTATTTATGTGACATATGATTTAAATTTCTATCATTTTTTCATCATCAGGTTACGGGAGGACAGATGGTTATGAAAATGATCGACCACTATCGAAATAAAGTCTCGTTGGCTGTAGAGTGAGTATCTTTATGTAAGGAATGAAATACATGACACTTAAAATGTATAGGTATACAGACAGAGGGACACAGAGACAAAAACAGAGAGACAATGAGACAAACAGATAGTCTCGGAGACAGAGAGAGGGAGAGACAGACAGAGAGATAGAGAAACAGAGTGATAGAGAAACAGAGTAACAGATAAAAAGAGAGACAGAAAGAGAGAGAGTCAGAAACAGTGGGACATACAGAGAGTCTGAGAAAAAAATAGACAGGGAGAGACAGAGAGGTAGATAGACAGCCAGCCCGACTAACAAACAGACAGACAGATAGACTGGTAGACTGACACACATACACCCCAACCCCCACCCCCACACATCCAGGATTCCCCTAATTGAGAATCCTGCCTCGGCTTTGCAACTAACACACTCCATGTTTCTTTAGTTCCCTCTACATTCCTGTGGGACGTTGAGGATGCCTAGTTGTGGCACGCTTTGATGTTTCTCCTGCTATAGAGAGCGGGGGAGAGGAGGGCGTGGGGCGGGCGGGGGGAGGGGCGTGTGGGCGGACGGGGAGAGGTGGGGGTGTGGGTGGGTGGGGAGAGGGGAGCGGGGGGCGGGCGGGGGAGAGGGGAGCGGGGGGCGGGCGGGGGAGAGTTGGGCGTGTGAGTGGGTGGGGGGAGGGGCGTGTGGGTGGGTGTAGGAGTGGTATGGGAAGAGAGAGAGAGAGAGAAGAGAGAGAGAAGGTAAGGGAAAGGGGAAAGAGAAAGGAAGAAAAGGGTGAAGGTTAAGAGAGAAAATGGGAGGGAATGGAGGAGGAGTAGGAGAGAGAGAGAGAGAGAGAGAGAGAGAGAGAGAGAGAGAGAGAGAGAGAGAGAGAGAGAGAGAGAGAGAGAGAGAGAGGAGAGAATGAGAGAGAGAGAGAATGAGAGAGAGAGAGAGAGAGAGAGAGAGAGAGAGAGAGAGAGAGAGAGAGAGAGAGAGAGAGAGAGAGAGAGAGAGAGAGAGAGGGAGAGAGGGAGAGAGAGAGAGAGAGAGAAGAGAGAGAAGAGAGAGAAGAGAGAGAAGAGAGAGAAGAGAGAGAAGAGAGAGAAGAGAGAGAGAGAAGAAAGAGAGAGAAGAGAGAGAGAAGAGAGAGAGAGGAGAGAGAGAGAGAGAGAGAGAGAGAGAGAGAGAGAGAGAGAGAGAGAGAGAGAGAGAGAGAGAGAGAGAGAGAGAAGAGAGAGAGAGAGAGAGAGATAGAGAGAGAGAGAGAGAAAGAGAGAGAAAGAGAGAGAAAGAGAGAGAGAGAGAGAGAGAGAGAGAGAGAGAGAGAGAGAGAGAGAGAGAGAGAGAGAGAGAGAGGAGAGAGAGAGAGAGAGAGAGATGGACCAGGAAAAAATGAAAGGGAAGTCGAAAGATCAAAATATAGAGAAAGAGAACGATAGACAGAGGAAGAGATGAATGGAGGAGTGAGGGAAATTGAGGAAGAGAGCTAAACCGACACTCAAACTCCCCTACACAGCAACGTAAGAAGGGTAACGAGAGGATATGAATAAACACAAGAATACCAAAGAAGGAGAAGGAGGTCGTGGCCGTCATTGGAGAGCCTTCTAATCTTGTGAGAATATCGAGGCGATGGCTGGGACGAAGGACAGACACAGAGGAGTTGTTTTTCGATCGTAAAGAAGGTCTTTGATGTCGCCAGAGGAGGCCGGGGTTATGGATTTCGTCATTACTTTATTCATTCCTTTTCCTTCCCTCCCTCTCTCCCTTCCTCCCCCCCCACCCCCTCTCTCTCGCGGCCTATCTGTCTCGGTCTCTTTCTCGTTTCGTATCGTCTCGTCTCGTCTCGTCTCGTCTCGTCTCTCTCTCTTTCGCTTTCGCTTTCGCTTTCGCTTTCTCTCTCTCTCTCTCTCTCTCTCTCTCTCTCTCTCTCTCTCTCTCTCTCTCTCTCTCTCTCTCTCTCTCTCTCTCTCTCTCTCTCTCTCTCTCTCTCTCTCTGGAAGGGACAGTGAGACAAACACTGTGTGGTGCAACGGTAGCGATCTCGCCTAGCAATCTTGCTGACCTGCGTTCAAATCCCTCGCCACCAGTGGATGGTAACCCCGGCCATTCCTTGCACACAGGGGATAACTTTGAAGCAAAATGAAATAGACACTATGTCATACCAAGAATATCCATTGTAACAAATGGAATCAAATGAAACCTTTACTAAACCTAACCTTTACTAAATCTCTCTCTCTCTCTCTCTCTCTCTCTCTCTCTCTCTCTCTCTCTCTCTCTCTCTCTCTCTCTCTCTCTCTCTCTCTCTCTCTCTCTCTCTCTCTCTCTCTTTATATATATATATATATATATATATATATATATATATATATATATATATATATATATATATATATATATATATATGTGTATGCATATATGTATATGTATGCATATATGTATATGTATATATATGCATATATATATGCATATATATATATATATATATATATATATATATATATATATATATATATATATATATATATATATATATATATATATATATATTATATATATGTACACACACATCTCTCTCTTTTCGTCCCTCTTCCCCTCCCCCTATCTATTCCGGCAGAACCTTCCACTCAGCCACCTAATCCCAGAGCACAAAAAGGCGGAGCGATAAGTGGATTAGCAAACAGCAACAAGCAAAGCCTTTGAGGTTTAGGAATATTCCCGTCACATTCCCCAATCGATCCTTCGCGATCAAGTCACGCCTCGCAGCTGCTACTGTGATGCAAATGCAAGACGAAGCGGTTGCACGTCTTGGCAGCTGTAGATGTATCTCTCCCCCCCCCCCCCCCAACCCCTTCTTCTTCCTCGTTGCCTCTCCCTTCTTTCTTCTCCGCAAGTTCTTATTTTTTCTTTTGTCTTTCCTCCTCTGTCTGTCTTCGTCCTTCTTCCCTCTGTCCTTTTAATGTTTTTCTCTTCCCCACCTCCTTTCTTCGTTTATAGGTAGATAGATAGATAGATAGACAGACAGATAGATAAATCAATAGATAGATAAACTGACAGGCAGAGTGGCAGACAGTCAAACAGATAGACGGACAGTATGAGAGAGAGAGAGAGAGAGAGAGAGAGAGAGAGAGAGAGAGAGAGAGAGAGAGAGAGAGAGAGAGAGAGAGAGAGAGAGAGAGAGAGCAAAAAGGAAATGGAAAGGAAGAGGGAGTTACTAACTGAAACAAGGCAAACTCATTCCGTAGATTTAATCAGGAGAGCTTTGCAGTGCACTAAAAAGATTACAAACGGAGCAATACAAAGTTAGACAAAAAATAAAGATATAGAGAGGAGGAAGGGAGGAGGAGGAGGAGGAGGAGGAGGAGGAGGAGGAGGAGGAGGAGGAGGAGGAGGAGGAGGAGGAGGAGGAGGAGGAGGAGGTAGGAGAAGAAGAAGAAGAAGAAGAAGATAGATAGATAGATAAATGATTTAAGAATGTAGCGTATTCATGCAGGCCTATGAGAAATAAACCCTTTTGTTGAATAAGTAACAGTAGACAAAAATCGTTGCAAAATTTAGAGTGAAATCGACCATGTAAGAAAACAGATAAAGAAAGAGTCGGTTTGTACTATAATTTATCAATGGCATAGTCATTAAGTCATGGTGGAAAGGAATGGGTTTGGTTTGATATTAATGATGCGTCTGTATTCCTGATTTACACAATATACCATATGTATTTATTGGGTATGCTATATATGACACTTTTAAATCACTGCATTATAAAAAAAAGTGAAATATATATATTTTTTCGAATGCCTGCACGCTCGGCCAGAGATATAAAACAGTTTAGGCTCGTAATTCAAATGAGAATTCCAAATAACTGCCTCGAACTGTCATTTAGAAAACAATTTATATACATGGGTGGACAAATGTAAAAATCCTGTGCTGAAACGAAAAAATAACTCGTGCCAATGATTTGTCGTTTTCATTTTCGCCGTTTATTGGCTGTGGCGGCGGCCTCGTTTTGGCGCGAAAGTGTTAGTTATGCGACATTTTCCCGCGTTTTTTTGGGTACAGCTGTTGTCTTCTAAAAAGATTAATAATGCCCATTGAATTAGGCTAGATTATATGAGATTATAATGATAATGAATAGTCGATACGTAGAGAATAAGGAGAGGGTAATATCACCTTAATATGTTTTCTTCATAGAAGCTAATTGAAGAAAATAAAGGTAAGATTTTGAATATAATTGTCGTCACTGAACTGATGGAATGGATACATGGGCATTCGATTGAGAAATTAACTCTATGGCACGTTTAAATTTCATCTGTTTTGTGATTTGTTCTTCACCAAATATTATAAAACGAGAGAAACTTTTACCGATAAAAGAACTAACGTACATTAAATAACATGATAGCATTTTTACGGACAGACCATTTTTTTACGTATTTTCAGACAGCCAGGTAGAGGGAGAGAGAGGGAGATAGAGGGAGACGGGAGGGAGAGGGAGGGAGAGAGAGGGAGAGAGGAGGGAGAGAGAGGCAGAGGGAGAAGAGGGAGGGAGAGGGAGAGAGAAGGGAAGGGAGAGGGAAGGAGAGCGAAAGAAAGGGAAGGGAAAGGGAAGGAAAGGAAGGAGAGGGATGAGAGATAGAGAGAGAGAGAGAGATGAGAGAGAGAGAGAGACGAGAGAGAGAGAGAGAGAGAGAGGGGGAGAGGGAGAGAGAGAGAGGGAGAGAGAGAGAGAGAGGAGTAAGAAGAGAGAGAGAGAGGAGAGAGATGGGGAGAGAGAGGAGAGAGAGAGAGAAGAGAGAGAGAGAGAGAAGAGAGAGAGAGAGAGAGAGAGAGAGAGAGAGAGAGAGAGAGAGAGAGAGAAAGAATAAAAGAGAAAGTGAAGAAATAGAAAACAAGGAGTGATTATAATAATGACATTTTCCCTCTTCACAAATGCTTTATTTGAATAATGACATAAATCACTTTTTTCGGGACAAGAAATCTCATTTATTTCCCAGAAACTAGTTAAGCCCTTGCTAATAAAGTTGGAAATTCCAGCCAGTATAT